TGATTTCAACATTCTAGGACGTAACTAAAAAGTATTTATTATTATAGGTAGGCCTAAAGTTATCCCTGATTTTATATAGTAGGCTATACAGTACATTGCAGAATTGACTGGCAAATAGTCCAGTCAAGGAATGAGGTGTAGAGTGCGTGAGCAGGTAACTAAGCGATTCCTTCAGAAACTTGTTCAGGGGGCTTAGGGTGTTAACATACCAAAAGTCCTGACTCCTAGGTGGTGAGCCAGGGGGTGGAGGGGGGAAAAAGGGGGGGAGAAAGGTACGCATTTTGGGTTTTTTGATTATATCTCGAAAACTATCAACTTTTTGTATACTATAGTAAATTATAAAATTGAAGAAGATTAAATTATCTACAAGAAAAGTATATAATGTGTTTATTTTGGTTCAACAGATTACGAGTTATAACTTATTTAATTAATATCTTATTAAAATACTCCTTCCATAAGAAATACATGTAAATTAGTATGTGAAATGGGGCGAATCCTATCCGCCCAAAGGAAATATAACTGATATTCTGGAAATCTTGACAAAATTTCCCAGTAATTTGACACTTTAATCATTAAAATTGATCCAAAATTAAGGCGAGGGCGAGGTAACAAAATGTCGAGTTTTGGTGTTTTTTATTGGAAATATAAAAAAAAACCCTCAAATCATCCCGTTTTTAAACGTTCACCCTTGCTTTAATTTTTGACAAAATTTCATGATTAAAGTGTCAAATTACTGGAAATTTTGTCAAGATTTCCAGAATATCAGTTATATTTCCTTTGGGCGGATAGGATTCGCCCCATTTCGCATACTAATTTACATGTATTTCTTATGGAAGGAGTATTTTAATAAGATATTAATTAAATAAGTTATAACTCGTAATCTGTTGAACCAAAATAAACACATTATATACTTTTCTTGTAGATAATTTAATCTTCTTCAATTTTATAATTTACTATAGTATACAAAAAGTTGATAGTTTTCGAGATATCATCAAAAAACCCAAAATGCGTACCTTTCTCCCCCCCTTTCCCCCCCCCCTCCACCCCCTGGCTCACCACCTAGGAGTCAGGACTTTTGGTATGTTAACACCCTAAGCCCCCTGAACAAGTTTCTGAAGGAATCGCTTAGTTACCTGCTCACGCACTCTACACCTACTTTTGGATCATTCATTGACTGGACTAAAATGAGTAATCCAAATGTAATATTGCTTACTGGTTTGATGATTAATCACGATCAGCTGTATTGAAGTAAACAAAAATCAGCAGTAAATGGCTTCTAATGCATTTCTTATGGAGAACATTTTACGTTATATCCAATTTTGTGTTAAAATTTAGGGAATTGCACTATTTTTCCCGCCGTCACAGGATCGAGACCTTTAATTTGAGCCCTCTCCCATCGTTCTACGACTTCCCAGTCGCCCACAATTTTGACGCAAAGAATCAGCTTACGTAATTAATATATAGATAGAATAGATACTGTATATAAATGTTTACTACAATCTGCTTACTTTTTAAACTACAAATGTTATAAAACAATATTACTTCCACCAATATAATCGCCATCTTTTACTATTTCCATTTGACCAAAAACCATTAAAACTCAATCTGCCGACTTCACTTACCAACTATAATGCTAATTAGCCACCATCCCCTCAGCGAGCCAAAGGCGAGTCTAATTATGTGTAACTCACTGACTCACGGGTGACACAAATGTTTGAGCACTCCAGAAGTGCTAGGGAGTTGAAATTTGGCACGCTTCTTGGTCTTGGGCCCAAACCACTAGGAAAATTATGAAAAGTGACATTTTCAAATTTGAAACCCCCCGAAATCTCGAGTCCCCCCCCCCCATTTTCTTCTTATGGGGAATAGCATTGAAAGTGGCCGACTTTGGTGTGCTCATCTCAACCGTTTAGAAATATGCTAGAGACTTGAAATTTGACAGCATTGTAGTACGTGATCTCAAATTAACAGTGGAATTTGCAAAAGTCCCATTTTCAAATTTTATCCCCCCCAAAAATCCAAAATGGCGGACCTCTGAAAACGACAAAACACGTTTTTTTTATACGACTTTAACTCAAAAAACTGTAAGAGCTAGCAAAGATTTGAAAGAATATCCATGTCAGGAATTAAATTTTCTACAAAACCCTCTTGGGCGTTTTCCAAAAAAACACACCCCTTCACCCCTAAAAACGCCCTACTTTAAAAAATTGGTAAAATTCTTTCAAATTTTTAATGGCTTTCGTTACTTTTTCTTACCTACTTAAAATGTTTTAGCAAATATTATTAATGCTTTGTGTTCTCCTTTGTTTACTTTAAATTAAAGTATTTTCATGTTTTTTTCGTAACTTTAGTCCTTGACCCCAAAATTTAAATTTAAAGTCAAAATTTGAAATATTTTACCACTTATACGAGCCCCATGTTATTCTTATGGGGAATCACATTGAAAGTTGCCGACTTTAGTATGCTCATCTGAACCGTTTAGAAACGTGCTAGAGACTTGAAATTTGAAGAGGATGTGGAACCTCACCCTAAATTACCCAGACAATTTCCAAAGTCCCATTTTCAAATTTTAATCCCCCCCCCAAAAAAATGCAGAATGGCGGACATATGAAAAAGTCCAAACACGTTTTATTAAACTTTTATACTTTTACTTTTATACTTTCTTATTAAATGGCGACCATACAAAGTAGGTATTTTAAGCCAAGTATGAATGGCTATAACTACAAAACGGTAAGAGCTAGCAAAGATTTGAAAGAATTTTCATGGTCAGGTTTTTATACAAAACCCTCTTAGGTTCTTTTCAAAAATCCACACCCCTTACTCATAAAAAACGCCCTACTTACAAGAATTAGTGAATTTCTTTCAAATTTTTAATGGTTTTCGCTACTTTTACCTACATAAGTATATGTTTTTTGCAAATATTATTAATGCTTTGTAACTTACTTAACTTATTAATGCTTTCTCCTTTGTTTACTTTAAATTTTAGCCACAACATGTTTTTTTCGTAAATTTACTCCTCGGCCCACAAAATATAAGTTAAATGTCAAAATTTGAAATATTTTACCACTTTTACGAGGTTATAACAGCTTCTCGACCTATTCACAAGGTTTACTGTACTAGAGCTAATACGATGGTATCAATATAATACCCCCGCCGCAGCAAACCTGCAGACTAAGCGAATTTCAACTTGTCTGATTACATATTTACTAAAATACTTCTATAAATAAGACATATTTATTCCCAATTTAAATAACATTAGATAGGCTATAACGAGTACTTAGGTTTGCTGCTACGGGGAAGGTAAACAGTGTTTTATGACCAAACGTCAATAGTATAAGATGAAATAAATAAGTTTGCCAAATTTGATCAACATATATCCATAAACAAGTAAACTACAACAGTTTTCATTTTCTCCATAAGAATAACATGGGAATTATAAATTAGCATTTTTTTTAATTTTCTCCGTGACCGTTAGGCATACAACAATGCTTCAATATACTAAATTATTTCTTTTTTTAAGCTCTACAAAATGGTTGGGAAAGAAATTCTAAAATTTTATGTTTTTAGGGTCAAAAATGGGAAAAACCCATTTTTACCCCATAAAACCCCCCATTAACCCCTGTTCCCATGGTCCGATTATGCTGGATCGCGAACTCGTTCGAATAAATGTAGGTTTACACATTTGTACCAAATTTCATCAAAATCGGATCATTTTTGCTCGAGTTATCGCGACGGACACATATATATATATGAATTTGAACGGATGGTGTTTTTGGTCTCTAGGGACCTCAAAACGAAAAAAAAATCGGTCCCGCGTCCAGGTCTTACCATGAGTACTACGGTAATAGCTTATTCCCTATATGGGAAATTCGCTAAAAAGGACCATATAAAAATTCACCCCTTCCAAAATCCGTTTCCCTCTTATAGCCACCACAGGTGCATCGGTCTATATCACGTTTACCCACTTCTAGATTAGCTGGAGATCTGAAAGTTTGGCACGATTGTAGGTCTTGGGCCCAAACAACCTAGAAAATTCACAAAAGTGACACTTTCCAGTAATACCCCCCCCCCTTTATTTACGAATCCCCCCATGTTATTCTTATGGAAAATTATTTTAGGTTTCTGACTTTGGAATGGGGATAAGAAACCATTTAAAAACAAGGTAGAGACTTGAAACTTTTTTTGGAGGCCGTCTTAGTCCTGATCCTGAACCACCTAGAAACAAAAAAAAAACTTTTATTTTTAGATTTTAAACCTCTAAAAAAATATTTTGGAAAATACCAATTTTTGAGAAAACGTTTTTTCTTATACCTTTTAAAAGTAATAGTCTTCAGTTATACCAAGGAATACTTAAAAAATATATATACTAAATTTAACCTCCCTCCCCAAAATTGAACCCTCCAGTATTTCTCTATAACACTCTTCAGGTTCATTGGACTAAATTATTATAGACAGGCAAAATACTTGACATGTAACAGGATTGTTGCCTCAAAGTTCCAACATAAAAAATGTTTAAATCTTAACGCTATTTTTATTTGTCTTGGCTTCTTGACCTTGGTCTTTCATCCCCCCCACCAGAAGTTTCTAATTCCCCCTATGTTTTTTTATGGGCAATAAGCTCGAGAGTGGCTTACTTTGGTATACTGATCTGTCCAGTTTAGAAACGTGCTAGAAACTTGAAATTTGCCAAGGATGTAGTTAGTAATCTAATAAGCCACCACCCTACAATGGGGGCCTGGGGCCTTGTAACCCCCAGCGAGCACAAGGCGAGTTTACTTTATACCCCCTATACCATTGTACAGTACCTTGCCATTTCATGTGCCTAAGGATACCCTAAGACAATTTATTGGTCAAACATGAAGTGATTACGTATTGTATGCTGTTTTACTGTTCTAGATTGCCTAGAATTCCAGGTTGGCTGTGTTTTGAAGACATCAGAAAAACCTTGAAAGTAACAAACTGATTATATTGTTTCTTATAAATCTCTATTGTTGTTTCAGGAAGCATAGTATGCCAGGCAGGCTGTGTGTTGGAGACATTAGACAATGCCTTGGCAGAACACGGACTGATGATGCCTCTAGACCTCGGGGCCAAGGGCAGCTGTCACATCGGAGGCAACATCGCCACCAATGCAGGAGGTCTGAGATTGCTGCGCTACGGCAGCCTGCAAGCTAATACACTCGGCCTTGTTGCGGTATAGAATTTCGTTCCTCTAGTGAAGGAGAATTGAATAATGATGAATAGATATTTTAAACCCATTGAATTGTTGTACTTGTCATTAAAAGACTGATTAAAATAATACTGTAAATTAATTTGGTGCTTTACAGGTTAAGGCTGATGGGCAAGTGATAGACTGTATGAACACCCTCAAGAAGGACAACACAGGATACCATCTGAAACACCTGTTCATCGGCTCTGAAGGAACTCTTGGATTAGTCACTGAGGTTGCAATCCAGTGTCCTCCGAAACCTCAGTCTGTCAGTTTAGCACTACTAGGTAGGTAATCTAAAGGAATTCTTGGATTAGTCACTGAAGTTGCAATCCATTGTCCTCCAAAAACTCAGTCTGTCAGTTTGGCACTACTAGGTAGGTAATCTGAAGGATCTCTTGGATTAGTCACTGAAGTTGCAATCCATTGTCCTCCAAAAACTCAGTCTGTCAGTTTGGCACTACTAGGTAGGTAATTTGAAGGAACCTTTGGACTAGTCCTGAGGTTTAAATGAAATTAAATGAAAATTAAATAAATATATATTCTTTATTGAGGTGAACTTAGGACCTCACGGTCCTTTCTTACAGTTAACCTCTGAGGTTGCAGTCCAATGTCCTCCAAAACCTCAGTCTGTCAGTAGTTTAAGTTTACATTACCAGGGAGGTAATATGATAATACGCCTTGCACAGCCACTGTCGGCCCTCCATTGTCTTTTTAACCTTAGTCTTTCAGGTTACCACTAATAGGTATGTAATATGTAGATACTTTTCGCATATAATCACTCATGAGGTTATCCATTGTTCCCCCGAATCACAGGATATCAGTTTAATCTTGTTCTTTCACATTTATTTACATTAAGCTGCTATTGATTCTGTAAAGTATGAACTTACAAATTTTACCGTATTCAAATATTCTTTGTTGTAACAACATTTGTGTTTTCTGTAGGTGTTGTTGACTTTGACCACGCATTGAAAACTTTCCGCTTGGCTCGCTCTATGCTTTCTGAGATCCTTTCTTCCTGTGAACTTATAGATGAGAACTGCATGCAACCTGTAGTCAACACACTTGGTGTTCGTAACCCATTGAGCGAACATCCGTTTTATGTGCTAATAGAGGTGTAGTATCTCTGATGTTTTCTAGTTGTCAACCTGTTTTATGCATGATACAAATATTTTAACATCAATTGGATTATTCAAAGGGCCTAGAATCAAAACTAATGACCAATTCTATAACAATTCTGTCCAATTAAGGATATAACTAGGAGCACAAGGGCCAAGGTTTTTAGGATAGCAGGCTTACCTGAATGAGAAGGAGTACAAATAACTTGCGCAAGAAACACAAAACTCTAGTATATTTCACTGTCACTGACAGCATGTTAACTGAGGGCGAGAGAGTTTTCTACAGAAATGTACTAGATTTTTGTGTATATAGTCTAAAGTTTTGTGTGTTTGTGCCAGTTTGGTCTGTTTTCCATACAAATATGTTTTGTTAATTGTTATTAATGTTAAACAATTTTGGTACGGTAATTTACTGACATTTTACTTGTAGTAGATTACATTTTGCCATTATTGATAAGAATATTTTGGTTTAAGGTGTCAGGGTCCAACGCAGCCCATGATGAAGAGAAGCTGAATGCCTTCCTGGAGAGTGCGATGGAAGATGAGATCGTTGCTGATGGAACTGTGACCAATGAACCTTCGCGAATGCAGGTCGGTGCTGAATAAGATACCAAAACATCTTAGTTTAATTTTAAAATCCATTAATTTTACTCACAGGTAAAAAGGTTCCTTTGTAAATTTAGCTATATCAACCTAATTTTCAAAATGTTGGAAAATTATATGATTCTTACTGTAACTGTCGTACCATCATTGTATAAATACTTCTTAACCCATTGCTTGAAAACTCAAATTCCAAATATAATAGAAGTTTTCAAATTCTAGAGAGCCTAATTTAATCTGTTTGTAAAAATTAGTGCTCAAATTAGCCTTGATCAAAAGAAAAATGAGCAATATTATTTTTGTTGTTGCCTGTGCTCTTGAGTAAGATGTTCGTGTGTCACCACTGCCATCTTGTGTGGAATTCGAACAACTTACTCACGAACATTGGCAACAACATTCAAAGGTAATCTATATGTAATTAAGTCTTGAAACAAATCTGTATTTTTAAAACCAAAGTAGATAGAAATAGTCTGTTTGTGGCAATAACTGTTAACAAATATTCCGCAATTTTGTACATTAAAAACATTTTTTAATCCCACCAACAGGGTAGGTGGTAGGGGGTGACTTATTTCTTTCAAATAGCACTCTATTGAGTGGCCTCATTTTGAAGGGTTTGTCAAATGAAACTCAATGATGCAAATCCAAGGTGGATATCTCACCCCTATCCAAAATGGCGGGTATTCCAAAATGGGTACTTTTTCACATAAATCAAATTCCGATCATCATCCGATCGTGATGCAACTTTGGGAAGTTGTTATATACAACCCCGGGAAGCTTTGTGTGAAATAAAATTTTGGAAATCTCCTCAGTGCCCTGACCCATTGGTCTTTAAAGTTCCCATGTTATTCAAATAAATGAATGCCGATGCTTGATGGCATTCTGTGTGTGCACACCTTAAATTTAAGACCAAATATAAATCCAATGGCACACGAATAATAGTGAAGAAACTAATAACCAATGTAATATAAGTGACAATTTTAAATGGCAAATTTAAGGGAGAAGAAGTTCTCTTGCCACATATTCCAACGACCCTCACAGATATGCCCTAGGAACCTTAACCTAACCTTACCTTAACCTACCCTTGACCTACCTTTGACCTTAACCTTTGAACAACATTAACTCACCATCACCAACAATGAACTTCAAACAAAGGATGCCCTATGAATTCAAACGTTTACAGTTTCCTGTGCGTCTTACTTTTGCGATAACTATAAACAAATATCAAGGGCAATCACTGCAAGTATGTGAATTAGACTTAACAAATCCATGTTTCTCACATTGACAACTTTATGTGCCCTGCTCTCGCGTTGGAAAACAAAATATTCTATTTTTTTACCCACCAAACGAAAAACAAAAAATATTGTTTACAAAAAAATACTTGATTAAATGTTTTGAAGCGAAATGAGGTTTTTTTTAATTGAAAAATAACAAAAACTGGAGTGCTCTAAAAATAAAAAAGACCTTCCAGAAATTCAATATGGAATGGTAAACTTTCTTGAAATCGCAGCAACGCGCGACGGGCAAGCTAGTTATGTTAGCCTGAGTTTCAAAATCCAAATTGAATCTGTTGAGGATTGTTTCTATTCTTTTAAGTGTCGACTTAGAGACAACAGACGAAGAACAACTTACAAATGGGTAGAGTGCTGGAGAAGAGACACGATTAACCATTGGATTTTGAAACTGAGGATATTTATCCCAGCATTTACACAAGGACTTTTAAAATGTAGATTTAAAACCAATGACGACGTTCACTACATACTCTATCATCCAGTCAAGAAAAAGGGGCTCGGCACAACTAATGTAGCGGGAGTGTGTCTACTGCAATGTCTTTAGACAGCTGTGTTTTGTTTTTCTTAGTATTTATTTCGTTACAAGAAAAGATTGTTATTCTTAGGTTGTCGGTTACGCATCACTAAAATAAATTAATTACAATTTACAAAAACAAATGTTAATTATTAAAATTCTTATGTTATTCTTGCGGAGAGTAAAAATTGTTGTAGTTTGCTCGTTAATGGATATATTTTAATCAAATTTGGTAAATGATTTATTTTTTACCAAGCTATAACAATTAACAAAAAAAAAACGCACTTTATTACAACCCCACCCCATTATTTAAGAAGTATTTATACAATGATGGTACGACAGTTACAGTAAGAATCATATAATTTTTCATATAATTTACTTTTTTTAGTAAATTGTAATTAATTTATTTTAGTGATGCGTAACCGACAACCTAAGAATAACATGAATAATGCCATCACGAAGGAAAAAACATACCGGAATGAAGAAAAGATTGTACATTTTAAACTTACTGAATGAAAGAAAGTTGATGCAAAACTTAAACTCTTAACTTATGAATGTATTAACTTTCAACTTAAAGTAAAGCAGGTAACCAACAATAAATTTAAATAATCCACGGATTTCACGATAATTAGGTTTAAGGAGTACCTAGGTTTGCTGCTACAGGGGGTGGGGTTGTAATAAAGTGCGTTTTTTTTTTTGTTAATTGTTATAGCTTGGTAAAAAATAAATCATTTACCAAATTCGATTAAAATATATCCATTAACGAGCAAACTACAACAATTTTTACTCTCCGCAAGAATAACATAAGAATTTTAATAATTAACATTTTTTTTTGGAATTTTGTCTGTAACTGTATCTTTGTAAGGCATACAACCTTCAATATACTAAATTATTTGTTTTTAAAGCTCTAAAAAATAAGAATTAACGTATGTTTATTTGTTTGTACCAAATTTCATAACAATCGGATCATTTTTGCTCCAGTTGTCGTGCTAACGGAAATATATATGAATTTGAACGTATGGTGTTTTTGGCCTGGATCAAAATAGAAAATCGTTCCTGGGTCTAGGTCATACGTGAGACCTTCGGTAATAGCTTATTCCCTTTATGGGAAATTTACTCAAATGAATAACTGTCATGTAAATCATGGTTTATAGCTATAGTTGAACTTAATTAATGTTGGAACTAAATTTATTTCAGCTCAGTATAACGTTTTATTGACACAGTGGACTTGACTGGCTTGATATTAATGATATTAGGATGTTTTTATACCTCCATTTATTGAATCAAAGTTTATTAATAGCCTTTATCATGAATAATCATATACATACTACTTTTGATTTTCTTAAACATACAGTCAAGTCTGAAAACTCTCCCACTTGTATTTTTTTGCTAACATGTAAAAAATGTGTACAACAATTGCAAACAAACTCTACGCCAGTATTATTTACGACTTTGTGAGCAACCATGGCAGTGAACTGTAGAACTCGGTAGCTTCAATAGGTACAGTACATAATACACCGTCTTTGTCATTTGGACGTAGCAAAACTTGCGGACATTAAGACGTGAACTCGTGATTCACACATATTTGATGATTGATGAGGTAATCAGCCAAAACTATAACCATGATTTTTCAAGTGACTGTGTGTTACTTAATTTGTGGTATAATATGTTTGCAGACTATCTGGCAGTTGAGGGAGAGGATTGCCGAAGCCCTGCTGAGGAATGGATTCGTTTACAAGTACGATGTTTCACTGCCACATAACAGCTTCTATCAACTGATACCTGTCCTGCAAGACAAACTAAAAGGAACCGATGCTAAAATTGTCTCAGGCTATGGACATTTAGGTGGGACAGCTACTTGTTTCATCCATGTCTGTATAAATACATAAAAAAATTACTTATCTCTAAAACAGCTTTTTAGAAAACAATTTCAATTAGCCTAATATAAAACCAGAAATGTTGGCTCCACAATGATAGATCAGTTGATTTTTTAGGTTTAAAACTGGACTCAACTATTCTTGATCTCTGCGCTTGAAATAAATAAGTTTAGCTCCAGCTGCTCCTAGTACGTAACCCAATTAATTCAAGTATTCGCTATTCAAACTGTTCATCTGTCGTCTTTGTTCTCAAATACGAAACAAATCAGTTTTTCATTCTTGGTAAGGATTCTGTTTATCTTCACTCAATTTTGGCCTGATCCTTAGAGCATTATCATAAAATTAAATTTATCATACACAATTTCTTTATGTAAATTTCTTTACTCTTATGACGGAATAGCTTCTGGATCATTAAAGTAAGACAAGATTAAGTTTATATTACCTGTGATTCAATTGTTTACACAGGATCGTTTGAATGTGGCCAAGGTAAAATAAACCCATTTTCAATATATTTCCAGTTCTAGGCCTCTATTTTAACTCTATGTCCATTACCAAATATAAACAAGTAGTGTCACTATAATTTTTACTTTTTTAAAAGTCTATAGCTGGAAAAGCCTCATGATGTGATTAAACACTTACGCCCTATTTTCATTATGTCTGTCTCTATTTGTAATAGTATTTATTTATTATCATGTTTAATTTTAACTAGGTGATGGGAACCTGCACCTGAACATCTGTGCGCCTCAGTTCAGCCCAGAGCTGCTGGCCAAGATAGAACCGTTTGTCTATGAGTGGATAAGTGAGCGAGGAGGCAGCATCAGTGCTGAACACGGCATCGGCTTCAAGAAGACCAAGTTCTTACGATACTCCAAGTCTGACGCAGCCATCCACACCATGAGACAGATCAAACAGCTCATGGATCCCAAGGGCATTCTCAACCCCTACAAAGTTCTGCCTATGGAATAGTTTCTGTATCACTCAAAAATTGGCTGATACAACTTACCATTTTGTCATCTGATATGAAACTAAGGTATAAATTACAGATAGGTTGTGTAATGAGGTTAAACTATTAAAGAAGACCTCAGTTTACCTGATGTTGGTAGAGGAAAGGAATCACTTTATTAGTTGATAAAAACCGTCGATTACCACAGAACAGCTAGACGTTGGCTGTTGACGGCCTTTTTCTACTTTTTCGTAACCGCTGTCCAATCTGAGGTGTGTGTGTGTTTGATGTCGGCTGCTTGATCCTCAGGCCGTGAAGAAGGAAGTCGGCCATTCCTGACTGTGACTTTGTGCTAGTCTGAGTTCGCCCCGTCTTCGTGCCTTATTCGCTGTTTACGCTCGTTTCGACTTGAACAGTTTCACGTGTTCGAGTATCGGTACGTAATTTTGCGTTTCGAATAGCAAGTTGATTTTGTGCGTGTGTGATTAGAGAGTTTGTTTAGTAAGTTACAGAAGTATTTTTAGTTAACCTATATTTGATATTTCTCCCACCAGTGTTCATTGAAAACTCTGTTGTAATTCGATGGCGTGACTTCAGCTCTAGCCCTACTATATGCTATTGCTATATAACCACGACAATTGCTGAGGAGTCGTAGTTGGTGATACCCTCTTAAAACGTTCTAAAATTCGTATTGGGACCTTCCTTATAATTTTTACCCATTTTGAATTTCGTGTGACGTCCACAAATTTGTCCCGGCGGCACAGGTTTCTGCTTGCCTAGTTTGGAAAAAGTTTGCTTAAGTTGTCCACGTGACGAAGTAGAAGTTTTAGTTTTGTTTTCACGTTTAATAAATAGTTTTATTTCTTCGTTTCAACCTTTTGTTTTTTACTGGAAACTTAGGACAAATTTGTGTCTAGTGACACTTTATGTTGTTCTGAGCTCTGATTAACCAATACTATCAATACTGAGGCTATCCTAATCACTATCGACTCCTGTGAAATCCCAGCAACCCGACTCGAGCGATTCCTGGGACTTCGTCGATTTTTGAGGTGGCGGAATTTCCAGCGTTACCATACGAGTTTTCGTGGGCAGAAAATTTGCGACACACTTGTATTTTTCAAGTGCCTTGAACAATCTAAGTCTTTTTTTTTGTGATTTAACCATGTTTCTCTTAGTCTTCACTGTAAGACTTATTTGTCAGCCAAAAACACGTACTGTTAGTTTACTTTGTTATTAATGTTTACAGTTACAGTAGTACTCCAACCATCCAAATCACTTACAGAAAGAATTTTAAAACCTCAGTAATAAGAGTGTCGTATTGCGAGCGCCACGGCTTAATTAGTAGTGCGAGCGCCGAGGCCATAAATCTGGTAAGGGTCTGCTCAATGAAGCATAAATGACAAGAAGTGTTGTATATAGTTGGACTTAACACAAGCCTCTGTGGTTGGCTCAGCGCAGTGGTCCCTTTTTCTGGTCCCTTTTTCAGGTCCCTCGTGGCACATGTACAAGTTCGGAGAGCCAGCTGTTAGGTTTGGTTTGGTTAGGTTAGGTTTGGATTAGTTAGGTTAGGTTAGGTTAGGTTAATAGCAAACTTTTATGCTATTATTATTAGGTATATGAATGCTCTTAAAACACTAAGTTTAAGAACAGGTTTCAAAAGCTCGCATATATGGACGCAGATGCGCCACGACATGGATAATTTGACGAGTATAAGCGTACACTTGCTTTATCCGGTTCGCTGTCAAAACTGTCACAACATAGGCAGGTAGTACACGCGGCGCTCGCCCCACCCGGCGCTCGGCCAGATTGTTATAAGAACTGCAATTAATGCATCCATTTGCTTGATTGGATTTTTCCATAAATATCTCCTTTCACATGTTAGGTTTATTCCCTAAAATAACATTAGTATTGTTACTGCAATGTCTTTAGACAGCTGTGTTTTGTTTTTCTTAGTATTTGTAAACTTACTGAATGAAAGAAAGTTGATACAAAACTTAAGTATTAACTTTTAATTTAAAGTAAAGCAAGTGACCAACATACTAATCCACGGATTTCACGATATGGTAGCAGAGCGTGGTTAAGAGAACGAAATAAATACTAAGAAAAACAAAACACAGCTGTCTAAATGCATTGCAAGTAGACACATTCACGCTACATTAGTTGTGCCGAGCCCCTTTTTCTTCACTGGATGATAGAGTATGTAGTGAACCTCGTCATTGGTTTTAAATCTACGTTTTAAAAGCCATGGGTGTATATGCTGGGATAAATATCTTTTTTGAGTTTCAAAATCCCAATTGAATCTGTTGAGGATTGTTTCTCTTCTTTAAGTGTCGACTTAGAGACGACAGATGAAGAACAACTTACAAAGGGGTAGAGTGCTGGAGAAGAGACTCGATTAACCATTGGATTTTGAAACTGAGGATATTTATCCCAGCATTTACACAAGGACTTTTAAAATGTAGATTTAAAACCAATGACGACGTTCACTACATACTCTATCATCCAGTCAAGGAAAATGGGCTCGGCACAACTAATGTAGCGGGAGTGTGTCTACTGCAATGTCTTTAGACAGCTGTGTTTTGTTTTGCTTAGTATTTATTTCGTTACAAGAAAATATTGTACATTTTAAACTTACTGAGTGAAAGAAAGTTGATGCAAAACTTTAAACTCTTAACTTATGAATGTATTAACTTTCAACTTAAAGTAAAGCAGGTAACCAACAATAACTTGAACTAATCCACGGATTTCACGATAATTAGGTTTAAGGAGTACCTAGGTTTGCTGCTACAGGGGGTGGGGTTGTAATAAAGTGCGTTTTTTTGTTAATTGTTATAGCTTGGTAAAAAATAAATTATTTACCAAATTCAATTAAAATATATCTATTAACGAGCAAACTACAACAGTTTTTACTCTCCGTAAGAATAACATAGGAGTTTTAATAATTAACATTTTTTGGAATTTTGTCCGTAACTGTAACTTTGTAAGGCATACAACCTTCAATATACTAAATTATTTGTTTTTTAAGCTCTAAAAAATAAGAATTAACGTATGTTTATTTGTTTGTACCAAATTTCATAACAATCGGATCATTTTTGCTCCAGTTATCGTGCTAACGGAAATATATATGAATTTGAACGTATGGTGTTTTTGGCCTGGATCAAAAAAGAAAATCGTTCCTGGGTCTAGGTCATACGTGAGACCTTCGGTAATAGCTTATTCCCTTTATGGGAAATTTACTCAAATGAATAACTGTCATGTAAATCATGGTTTATAGCTATAGTTTGCAACCTCAGGGTTTTTAGGTTCGTGCTTGGAACTCTCTTTAATTTCCAATTTCCTTGCTAATCTTTTAATTTGAAATTTTTTTTTTACTAAATAATTTTATATCGAATTTGGATAAGATTGTTCTAAAACAAAAGTCTTTACTTGAATCAAGATTTTAGGCTATATAAATTTTAACAGTTATGAGGCTACTCGATCCACCTCAGAAATAGGCTAATGTTCTCAAATTGTCCAACACCTATAGGATAGTCTGTAATAATAAGATGGAGATTACCAAGTTTCTTCCAAGTTTCCACATTTCTTCTTGTTTAAACTATTTGAAATAATGAGACGGTTTTGGTTTAGCTTTTCACTTTTTACTAGTTAATATTATAGCCTAATATAAAAATCATACAAACTAGTTTTTTTAAACTCTCACCCAGCTAGTTCATGGTAGAAGAAGCAGCAGCAAAATTCAGTTGTTACCTAACACATGTTTTTCAGCAACAATGTATTCAGGTCTTCTATATCTTGAAGTTCACTTTTAGTCACTCAGGCCAATTAATAGTATATGAAATTTAATTTGGGTAAATTACTTTTTGAGATTTTGTTTAATTATATATATATATTTATTTTTACTTTAGCTTGTGTTTGAAATAGATTGTAAACATAATATATTTTAAATAGGCTTTTAGGCTTAATTGACTGGTAATAGGCTATTTATATATTATTTAATTATACAAAATTTTATGAACTGTTGCAATATCCCCGCAGAAACTGAATATTACATGTAATATGAGGTTTCGATACACAGTGAAATAAATTTTGGTTTGAAATGTGAACATTTAATAAAAGAAGACTTAACTATTAATGAAGAACGATGGGTGGAACATGGTTATTGGAATACAAATTCTTAATCAACACAATTATTGAATCATGAACAATATAACAACAAAATTATAACAATTAATAACATTAAAGATAGGAGAAGGAAGTACTATTGTTTATGTATTGGGGACAATGGGGTAATATGACTTTCTCATCACTATTATTATAGTTCCTATGAATTATTGTTCCTTAACGTCTTTTCTCACTTCACACTTTTCTTAATTAAGTTAATATTTCATTACACTGCAGAGCGTCTATTTTATGTTTTTCATTTACATATTTCTTCTGGTATTTAATTCACTTTGTTGAGTGTCTATTTTATTTACATTTAATTATTTACATGGGTTTAAGGTCTCTCTACACACACTTTTCATTTAATTTTCTTCAATTTAAAATTTTCTTTAAATATACTATTATTCTTCATACATATACTTTTGATTATTAAACTTGTATCTTCGGCTGAGGAGGAATATATCTTTTTAGTGCTGAAATGTGGTATGGCCCAAATGTCTTCTTATCATCTAGAGTGCTTACATTATAAGTTGAATGTCCTAAAATTGTACTGATCTTGAATGCGCCTTCGTAGACTTCCTGTATTTTTACTCATATTTAAGTTAGGATTGTAATTAATGTAATGTAGATTGTTGTTTGTTTTCATATCATTATTAATACTATCATAATTATCTTCATAATATTTATCATCATTATTTTCGTTCTCAATGCTTCGCCTTGGGCTTTGCTCAAATACAAAATTGCAATTTATACCTTCAACAGATACCTCTCCGAACTTCAAAGTAATATTATTATTATTAATCTTCAATATAATAACTTTTTCTTTAAAATTCATCTCAAACTGCCATATATTTAATACATCATTCCCAATTATTAAATTCCTAACTAAGTTTGGTATGAGTAAAACTTGTAGTTGAGTTTCTCCATTTTCTATCATTACAGGTAACATTATGATTTTAGTTATGCACTTAGATCGATCTCCCGTAGCGGTTTTAATATGTGTAGGCCTATTTGTAATTGGTAATTCTTCAAAATGACCTATGTGGTGTTTATTTTCTAGGAACCATTTTTCCGATATACATGTTACATTAGAGCCGGTGTCAATTAGGGCATTTATCTTCGATTTATTAATTTTAACACTAATTTCTGGAAAATCAATTTGTTTAATCTCGTGGGAATCATTAATTGATTCATCTTCTTCACTTAATAAAAATTCTCTGTCACAACAGATAACATCAGTTTCATAACAATTATTTAATTCATTATATACATTTGGCCTTATTTTTCCGAAGGGATTTTCTCGCACTGAAGAGACAATTGAGGGAATATTATTTTCAGGGGAAGTGGTGTGTAGGCCATTTTTGCTCTCAGTGCTCTTTAGTTTAAATCCGACTTATGTGGTTGGTCGGTTTTATCGATTATGGTGGTACAGACTTGTAGTTGTTCTGGGGTCATATAATTGGGTTCAGTTCGGTTTCCTTTCCTAGTGGGATAATTATTTGAATTTTGTGGAAATCTGCCTTGTGGGTATGGGAACCAGTTTTGTTGGTTTGGCCGGTTATTGTATTGTTGGTTGTGGTTGTATGGTCGATTGTTTTGTTGATACTTCATGTCATATCTTGGTTGGTATGCATTTTGGTTGATGTTATTAGTGCGGTCAGGATATCTGTTTTGTGGTTGTGTGTTATAGTTGGGCCTTGGTTCATTTCGGTTTGTCGCTGGTGTATTGTGTGATGGGGGATGGTTTTGTTTATTCCGGCGATTTCCGTCTTTTATATCTTCACGCTGGAGGATCGATTCAAATGCAAATATTGTGTTGGCATTCTGTACTATGCGGGCATCTTGTATTAGTTCACTGAAGTGATCGCTTAGCAATGTAATAATTTCTTCATCGGTCAAAGGTGGGGACATTGATTTCAACGTTATGACTCTCTCTATAAAGTATTCTGAGCGGGTCAGTTTTCCTCCAGGACGGTACCTCTCGTTTTCCAATCTATGTCGAATTCCACGCTGTACTGATTGGCTCCAAAATTTCATGAGAAACATGCTCTCAAACTCATCCCATGTATTAATATTACTTTTGATAAGAGAAAACCATCGTGAAGCGCTCCCACCTAAACTCATCTCTATCGTATCAATTAAGAATTCTTTAGGGTCGGTTGTGGGACTCTGGCGAACCAAATTGCGACAGTAATATTTTTGTAGTTTGTTTAAGAACTCTTTGGGGTTGTGTGCTCGTCCAGTGAATTTAGGTACGTCTGAGTCAACATTAGTTCCGCTACCGCAAGATACATAAATGTTAGGGGTGAATGTACTCTGTTTAACAGTGGCTTCGTGTTGTAGAGATTCAATCTTGTTATGATGTTCACTTAGTGTTGTTTTCATATTTTCTATTAATTCAATGTTTTGTTCAACTCTGTCTTGATTTGCTTTAATCTGTGGTTCTAGTTGTTCTTGAATCCGTTGAGTATTTTCACTTACTGTGTGTCTGAGTTGTTTATGCTGTGTTTCATATGTTTCCTGAATTTGACTTTTAATATTATTTAAATTAGTATTCATAGTCTGGCTCAACTCTTCCCTAATAATTTGATTTTGGGTATGGACTGTGTCATTTACTTCAGTTTTATGGGCATGTAGATCTGCTTTCAGGTAGATTTTTAGATTATATGAGCTTTCGGCAACTTGGGTAGTTAATTTAGATTCAATTGATTTCATTTCCTCTGATTGTTTTTGTTGATTTTCCTTCACATAGTTTAATTCCAATTGTAGTTTATTTTGTGATTCAGTGATAGATTCAATTTTAGTATCGAGGATTTTATAGTGGGTCTTTATTTCATCTTTAATACTGGTTTCCAACGATATCATTTTATTATCCAAAGATTGGAATAGCGTTTGAATTTGGGTCATAAAGTCGGGTTTCGGGTCGGGTAGTTGAGTGACGGTGCTTGCTGTAGCATGTTGAGAAGCTCGCTGTGATTGATCGTCATGAAACTGTGTTGTGATTGGCTGTTGTGTTTCTGTTGCCGTCGTAAGGAACGTAGGCCTATCAGCTGTCATATTCATTCCCATCATTCCTTGTTCATCGTTCACCGGGACGTTGATTTGGTGTTGGTCGGTAAAATTTGTTTGCTTTGCGGCTACGGCTACAATATCCGATCGCGATGACTCGGAATCGTGGAATGATTGCTCGTCGAAGGATTTGTTTTCTGAGTGTGTTTGTTGTGATAATGTTTCAGGGCTTTTCGCTGTTAGTGTCCATGATTCATCTTCACTAATATCGCTGGTGTTAGTGTTTGTGTGAATTTCAATGTTGTTGTCTTCTTGATTATTATCGTCACTATCCTCGCTATTTTCGACTAGTTTCCTAGAGGGTTTAGGGTTTGGGCGTAAATTGTATTGACTCGTCATCTTGGATATCTTTAACTAACAGGTGACTGATAGGCTAATTATGAAAGGGGAAACAGGTGGGGAATCTTAACTTAGATAGGTACCTTTATAATAGTACAACACTCTTATAGGCTATTCTTAGTTTAACCTAAAAATCACTATTTCAAACACATAAGCTAGGCCTACTTGTATTATTAGCAAGGTTTGGTTGATAAGAGAGCCCCACGTTGGGCGCCAATTGCAACCTCAGGGTTTTTAGGTTCGTGCTTGGAACTCTCTTTAATTTCCAATTTCCTTGCTAATCTTTTAATTTGAAATTTTTTTTTACTAAATAATTTTATATCGAATTTGGATAAGATTGTTCTAAAACAAAAGTCTTTACTTGAATCAAGATTTTAGGCTATATAAATTTTAACAGTTATGAGGCTACTCGATCCACCTCAGAAATAGGCTAATGTTCTCAAATTGTCCAACACCTATAGGATAGTCTGTAATAATAAGATGGAGATTACCAAGTTTCTTCCAAGTTTCCACATTTCTTCTTGTTTAAACTATTTGAAATAATGAGACTGTTTTGGTTTAGCTTTTCACTTTTTACTAGAAAATATTATAGCCTAATATAAAAATCATACAAACTAGTTTTTTTAAACTCTCACCCAGCTAGTTCATGGTAGAAGAAGCAGCAGCAAAATTCAGTTGTTACCTAACACATGTTTTTCAGCAACGATGTATTCAGGTCTTCTATATCTTGAAGTTCACTTTTAGTCACTCAGGCCAATTAATAGTATATGAAATTTAATTTGGGTAAATAACTTTTTGAGATTTTGTTTAGTTATATATATATTTATTTTTACTTTAGCTTGTGTTTGAAATAGATTGTAAACATAATATATTTTAAATAGGCTTTTAGGCTTAATTGACTGGTAATAGGCTATTTATATATTATTTAATTATACAAAATTTTATGAACTGTTGCAAGTTGAACTTAATTAATGTTGGAACTAAATTTATTTCAGCTCAGTATAACGTTTTATTGACACAGTGGACTTGACTGGCTTGATATTAATGATATTAGGATGTTTTTATACCTCCATTTATTGAATCAAAGTTTATTAATAGCCTTTATCATGAATAATCATATACATACTACTTATGATTTTCTTAAACATACAGTCAAGTCTGAAAACTCTCCCACTAGTATTTTTTTGCTAACATATAAAAATGTGTACAACAATTGCAAACAAACTCTACGCCAGTATTATTTACGACTTTGTGAGCAACCATGGCAGTGAACTGTAGAACTCGGTAGCTTCAATAGGTACAGTACACAATACACCGTCTTTGTCATTTGGACGTAGCAAAACTTGCGGACATTAAGACGTGAACTCGTGATTCACACATATTTGATGATTGATGAGGTAATCAGCCAAAACTATAACCATGATTTTTCAAGTGACTGTGTGTTACTTAATTTGTGGTATAATATGTTTGCAGACTATCTGGCAGTTGAGGGAGAGGATTGCCGAAGCCCTGCAGAGGAATGGATTCGTTTACAAGTACGATGTTTCACTGCCACATAACAGCTTCTATCAACTGATACCTGTCCTGCAAGACAAACTAAAAGGAACCGATGCTAAAATTGTCTCAGGCTATGGACATTTAGGTGGGACAGCTACTTGTTTCATCCATGTCTGTATAAATACATAAAAAAATTACTTATCTCTAAAACAGCTTTTTAGAAAACAATTTCAATTAGCCTAATATAAAACCAGAAATGTTGGCTCCACAATGATAGATCAGTTGATTTTTTAGGTTTAAAACTGGACTCAACTATTCTTGATCTCTGCGCTTGAAATAAATAAGTTTAGCTCAAGCTGCTCCTAGTACGTAACCCAATTAATTCAAGTACTCGCTATTCAAACTGTTCATCTGTCGTCTTTGTTCTCAAATACGAAACAAATCAGTTTTTCATTCTTGGTAAGGATTCTGTTTATCTTCACTCAATTTTGGCCTGATCCTTAGAGCATTATCATAAAATTAAATTTATCATACACAATTTCTTTATGTAAATTTCTTTACTCTTATGACGGAATAGCTTCTGGATCATTAAAGTAAGACAAGATTAAGTTTATATTACCTGTGATTCAATTGTTTACACAGGATCGTTTGAATGTGGCCAAGGTAAAATAAACCCATTTTCAATATATTTCCAGTTCTAGGCCTCTATTTTAACTCTATGTCCATTACCAAATATAAACAAGTAGTGTCACTATAATTTTTACTTTTTTAAAAGTCTATAGCTGGAAAAGCCTCATGATGTGATTAAACACTTACGCCCTATTTTCATTATGTCTGTCTCTATTTGTAATAGTATTTATTTATTATCATGTTTAATTTTAACTAGGTGATGGGAACCTGCACCTGAACATCTGTGCGCCTCAGTTCAGCCCAGAGCTGCTGGCCAAGATAGAACCGTTTGTCTATGAGTGGATAAGTGAGCGAGGAGGCAGCATCAGTGCTGAACACGGCATCGGCTTCAAGAAGACCAAGTTCTTACGATACTCCAAGTCTGACGCAGCCATCCACACCATGAGACAGATCAAACAGCTCATGGATCCCAAGGGCATTCTCAACCCCTACAAAGTTCTGCCTATGGAATAGTTTCTGTATCACTCAAAAATTGGCTGATACAACTTACCATTTTGTCATCTGATATGAAACTAAGGTATAAATTACAGATAGGTTGTGCAATGAGGTTAAACTATTAAAGAAGACCTCAGTTTACCTGATGTTGGTAGAGGAAAGGAATCACTTTATTAGTTGATAAAAACCGTCGATTACCACAGAACAGCTAGACGTTGGCTGTTGACGGCCTTTTTCTACTTTTTCGTAACCGCTGTCCAATCTGAGGTGTGTGTGTGTTTGATGTCGGCTGCTTGATCCTCAGGCCGTGAAGAAGGAAGTCGGCCATTCCTGACTGTGACTTTGTGCTAGTCTGAGTTCGCCCCGTCTTCGTGCCTTATTCGCTGTTTACGCTCGTTTCGACTTGAACAGTTTCACGTGTTCGAGTATCGGTATATGAATAAAGTAGCTATGAACAAATAAAATTGTAAAATTACTTTTGAGACACATGGTATATATACTGTATATAGAATCGTTTATATTAAACACTTCATATCTCATCTGAGAGCACAACAAGGTGGCGTAGGGATTAGAAGAGGTCACTGCGCGGAGTTGGGCTGATGCCCAGTTGCACCGGTGGTCAATGGAATTTGCAAGGGTCGACAAAGTCCTCCCTCCTAAGAGTGCCCAGTTGCACCGGTGGTCAACAATCTGGCATGCTTGGATGCTCCTTCCCCTCCTCGAACGCTTTTATATACCTATCTCCTCTTTTACGTTTCATCGTATATAGTCTGCGCTTAATATTTACTATTTATAGGGAACTAGCACCTAACTTAACCTAACCTAACCTAACCTAACTTAACCTAACTTAACATAACCTAACCTAACTTAACTTAACCTAACCTAACCCCCGGTGCAACTGGGCATCACCCTAAAATGACCATCGGTGCAACTGGGCATTCGAGATTAGGGCCACCCCTGACCATCGGTACAACTGGGCAACTGCCCGGAGTTGGGCTATCCCCGAGTAGACATCACCATTGAAATATCGTTACGGAAATATCGTCACCGGTTTCGTGATCGTGGCAAAATCTTGCACATCTTCCCCAGTCTTGTAGACGTAGTCATCTTCTCCCGCAGTAACGGAAACATCGTTATCGTTTTCCGTGATCGAAGTCAAACCTAGAGTATCTCCCGCAGTCTTGTATCTTCTGCGACCACAATAGTAAAAGCTCAGCTTGACTTTGCCCATAGTCTGAAAAATACTAAATTTTTTATCATCCGAATGTGGTGGTATGGTCCTAATTGGTTTGGATAATTGGAGTTCTACTGTTAGTACAGCTAGACGTTGGCTGTTGACGGCCTTTTACTACTTTTTCGTAACCGCTGTCCAATCTGAGGTGTGTGTGTGTTTGATGTCCACACAAAAACATTAATTAATTAATAAACTTAATTAGTATTAAGTTTATGGGCTTGTTAATAGACGTCATGTTCAATTCAATTTGGCGAATTCTATTGTATACTTTTTGTTTACATTGAAATTTGATCAGAAACAAATTTATTGTGGTCTTTGTAGTTGTAACTCTCAACAGTTGTTGTTTGAATGCTTTTTAGTCTATATTAGGCAAGTATCTAAGTGTAAAATATTTCTTACTATTCTTGTTTTATATTTTAAAGTATCTTAAAATATTCTTTGTTTGAAGTTTTTCTGTGACAAAGGTATTTTAAATACCCCCTCCGCAGCAAACCTGCAGACTAAGCGAATTTCAACTCGTCTTATTACATTTTTGCTCAAATATTTCCATAAATAAGACATATTTTTATTCCCTATTTAAATAACATTAGATTTAACGAGTGCTTAGGTTTGCTGCTACGGGGAAGGTAAAAAGTGTTTTTTGACTATACGTCAAAGTATAGGATGAAATAAATAAATTTGCCAAATTTTATCAATATATATCCATAAACAAGTAAACTACAACAATTTTCATTTTCTCCATAAAAATAACATGGGAATTTTAAATTACACAATTTTTTAATTTTCTCCGTGACCGTTAGGCATACAACAGCGCTTCAATATACTAAATTATTTCTTTTTTTAAGCTCTACAAAACGGTCTAAAAAGAAATTGCAAAATTTTTTATTTTTAGGGTCAAAAATGGGAAAACCCCATTTTTACCCCATAAAACCCCCCATAAACCCCCGTTCCCATAGTCCGATCATGCTGGTTCGCGAACTCGTTCGAATAAACGTAGGTTTACACGTTTATACCAAATTTCATCGAAATCGGATCATTTTTGCTCGAGTTATCGCGCTAACGGACACATATATAAATATATATATATAAATCTATACTAATATATAAAAATCTAATGGTGTCTGTCTGTATGTGTATTACTAATAGGTGCAAAAACTACTCAACCAACTGGGCTTAAATTTTACAAAAATATAGCTACCATACCAAGGACCATTATAGGACTATTCACACTTCGATACTGACCGTGGGCTTTGCCCCTTTGGCTTTAAAAGTTCTGAGGTGAGGATTTTAAAAGTAAATATTGATTGGTCTCCATGGCTACAATAAGAATACTCACAATGTTTACATTTGCTTTGACATTTCAATGTAAACAAGAAAAACTGCCAAATCGCATATTTCACACAATTGTGTGGTTGGTTTATTTAATAAAAAAATTTATCAAAGATCATTTATTCAAAAACATTAATGATTATAGAAATAAAAAAATAATTACAATGTATTGATGTTTAGTATGAATTTTGAGGCTACTGTAAATAAATTCGAACTGCTTAACATGTGTTAGATTAACTTAACATAACTTGCACATCACATTGTTTTTTTATGTATATTTAGGTAAATTTAGTTGTGTGTTTTGCTAAACCTCCTATGCTTAAATTAAACTAAAGAATATCGTCAATACTGTAACTAAATTGTACGTCATTGATTTTTGTGTTCTAAAATCTGTTGTATATGTGAAACTATATTTAATTATCAAATGGTAATACAAAATACTCCTATTTTATCTTACTGTAACATAACTTTCAGTTCACATTTACTTTATTAGATAAATTCATTATTTGTGTTTTGCCACAACACTGATTAAATTAAACCAAGGAAAATATCATTAAACTAAGCAGTACACAGTGTTCTTTTATTTCAAAAATCAATGAAATATGTTACTATGTTTACTTAATGGTAAGAGTGAAAATGTATAGGCAATGGACGATGGAACTGATTAAAAGAACTGGTTTGTATATTAAGTTGTTTGTTGATATTTTTGTAGAGTAGAATCAGATATGCAATGAAACATAACTATACTGTATTTGCTATTACATTTTTTAGTCCTTGATGCTTTGATAATCATATTAGTTTTGCCTGCTGTCTTTAATGCTAAATGATTTGTTTAACATTATTTTTGTATAGATATAGTTTATTTAATATTTAAAAGATAAGGCACAATAGTTATTTGCGTAACTAGTGGGCAAAGTGGCACTTTGCTGCACACTAGAGCAATGTTTACGCACTCGCCTGCGGCGAGTGCGGAATGATCTCGAGTGCAGCAAAGGCCTTTTGCACTCGTGTTACACATTATATTTTTCCTACAATCACTAAAAAGCATATAAATAATTAGTCTTTCAAACACTATACAACAAGTTTTTAGGTTCAACTGGCAACACAAATAGGTGCCCTAGAGAAAGTAGTACCCGGTCCGTATCACTCCGCTATTTTTTCCTCGGCAAGAAATGTGCTCCGCGACTAGAGAAAATATTTCCGTATGTTTTGTAATTTGAAGTGGTTTCCGCGCCTAAAAAAATGCTTTAAAGGTATTTTCTTGTTTATTAAGATCGTTGGAATGTTTTAAAAACGTTTAAAAGAAAAGTCCAGAAAGTTCAGAAATACCGAAACTATAAACACGAAATGACAGGTTAAATCGTAGTAATAATAGTCAATCAGCTGCTCATAGTATTATTATCTTTAAGTGTTGCCAACCTATTTCTAAACATACACGGATTACGTGCATAATAGAACCACGCTGTTTTGTGTTGTTTCGTTGGAATCCTGATGTGCGCCAAAGTATAAACCGTACGACAAAGTATAAACCGTACACGACAAAGTATAAATATGCAGCTTTCTGTACTATAAACAGTACAAGGAAGCCAACTTTGTCGGGTGACTTTAGGAAAAATATTTCTAAAGTTTATAACAGCTGACTTAGTTTTGCTAATGATTTATTGCGAGTGACGAAACTGAAGATGGAAGGATTTGTGATTTAAAATGAAGAAGAGTGAAATTGAAAAAATGTTAATTTAAATTTAATCTATATAAATAAAATTAGAGTTTTGTCTGTACATTGCTCAGAATTATATACTTTTAGGTTATTTTTACGTTTTATACATTAAAGAAGCAGAAACGAGTCTTATCTCAATTTCTGTCTGTCTGTCTGTCTATCTGTCCCTTTGTCTGTAACACTCAAGATGGGATTTTACGCAATCTTCTCCGTGAAAGCCAGAGTACATATCAAGATCCAAGTCATTTTAATGTATTCACTGGATTGGCGAGAGTGTCTTTAGTGATTTAAATATAGCCTCACTACTTTGTAAATAAAATTACGGACGTTCAAAAATGCAGTTTTGTGCGATTTTTGTCAAATTTTCGTTCAATTTTTATCACATAATCGTCTATGAAATAACGAACAGCTGTTCGGATCAAGATTATTTTTTCTAGCTGTCAATGACATGTTTACAAATGTTGTTTACAAATACCGCAACTATTTGGAATCACGTTTTGAAAGCAAATCCCAACCAAGTGAGATTAAAAACGTTTTTCTTACATAACGGATTTAATTAATCGCAAGTGCAATAATATAGTCTAATAGTGTAACCGTAAATGAAATTAAATAACTAGACATCGTCCAAATCGGAACCAGAAATTCTTTGAGTATAAAATGTTTCTTGAGTTTTGACAACCAGAAAGAAGAAGACCTTGAATCAGTGTTGTAATAGGGCTGTGACACTGAAATGATCGTCGCCAATACCTTACAAAAAAGGTTTCCACTCATTGACGGAGCTTCAATGGCGGTTGTGTAAAGTGTAAAGTAAAAAATCACAACTGCAGTGGGTGATTGTAACAGAGGTTTAACAGAGGAAGTGCTAAACTCGCTTTTCCAATTTGTCACTTTCTGTTTCTACTCACCGTGTGATGCAATCGCTGGACCATACAGCCAATAGGCCCATAGCTCATATCTTGGGTACGTAAGCCTACATATTTATTCATAACAACCTTTTTGACGACGATCCTTGATACCGGTACTTTTCCATAGAATACATGGCCTACCTACTTAAAAAATAAAATTACAAATGACCAAAACCCCAACATTGTGTGATTTTCGTCACATTTCCTTCTAATGTTAATAGATATACTAATCATTGTTTAGAGAATGCGTAATCTATTAAATAACAAAAAGTTGTTTGGGTAAGGTTGCTTTTTTTTCAAACTGACACCGATAAGTTTACGCTATAACTTTTTACGAGAAAATCCAAAAGCAAGAGATCAATAACCTCGGGACTAGATATTAATGTATTTAATTGGTCCGATTTACTATAGTTCTTAGGTAGGTTCTTACGCGTAGGTACTGGTTCTTTTCCTTAGAACCGGTAGTTTAGAAATTTGATATCGTTGGTGTTGCACCTTATTTATTAGAGCCGTCCGTATTCAATTTAAGTGATGTCTTAACTCTGTATAAGTTTTGCTTTTTCTGTCTGGATTCCAAATCTTAGCTTACCCGGTATGCTAAGAAAATGATAACCTATTTGAGTAAAACACATTTGTTGGGCAAACCATCATGAATTGTTTACGCCTTTATATTGTTTATGTATCAATAGTTCGTGGCCTTTGTTGGATTGTTGTATTGTGTTGTTTTGTTGTATGTTGGTAACGCATTAATGTCCTTATTTCTCAGTGTTTCACGGAATGGACAAGAGCACCTTTGATACTGAAAATGTCAACCGGAATAAAGTGTTAAATGGTGAGGTTGAGGTAGTACTTTAAATACGTTTAAGTTAACCGATGTGGAAAGTAACTTTCAATTATAGGCCTACTTTAGGGCTACGCTTCATGGATCTATAAAACATTTTTTAGTTTAATCATTGGACATATGGACCAACACGATCCGGGTGACATTTAATTGCGAAGCATTTATTTTGGCTTGAACTGTCAGATACTGTATTTGCGAAGGTTTATAATAGTTTTGCCAGCATATCTGCAAATATGCAAACTAATTGCTGTTCTTAATCTTAATATAAGAAGGTTTCAACTGACTACTATAAGATCCCCGTGCGTAGAACGGGCACACAGCTAGTATATATATATATAAATATATATATATATATATATGAATTTGAACGATTAGTGTTTTTGGCCTCTGGGGACATCAAAATGAAAAAGTAAATCGGTCCCGCGCCCAGGTCTTACCATGAGACCTACGGTAATAGCTACTTCCCTATAGGGAAATTCGCTAAAACAAGTAGTATGAAATCTATCGTGGAGTTTTTTAATCTATACAACTTTTTCAGATTGTTTTATCAAGTTTTTAATTCAGGCAAAGACTTGGAAAACGTCAGATAAGTAGGTAACATAATATGCATAAATGTTTACTGAGGGTGGTCATTTGAACGTTAAACTATTTCTTAACAAATAAACAGAATCAGCAATCTGACACATACTTTCTCCCATTAGCTTGTCAACAACCTTTATCATGGGTAAGCGATGAGAGTAACTATGATATTTAATAGGTAAAATCACAAAAGTTGTATTAAATTTTGAACCGTAATTTTAACAGGAATGGATGGGGGGGAGTTTGCACTATTTGGTTTAGAATTATAAGGACCATTACAGAAAATTTCAATCAGAATTGGTAAAAAAAAAACCTTTATCTCCGTTTTTTTCAATGGGATTTATGGGAAAATAACGTAAGTTACAATAACTTTTGAACAGTTTTTTAAAGGAATGGGGGGTTGCACTATGTTGTTAAGAATTATAAGGATTAGGCCTATCACATACTAGTTTCAATCGAAACCGGTTTTTTTTAGAAAATAAGAATATCTCTTATTTTATGGTTTTTTTACGGAAAATACCATAATTTACAATAACTTATGAACTGTAATTTTTACAGAAATGGGAGTTATACCATTTCGTTCAGAATTTAAAGGGCTACAACACAATAAATTCTTATCAAAATCGTTCAGGGCATTTTCGAGAAAATCCAATTTTCCTGTTATTTATGGGTTTTTATGGGAAAATCAACATTAAAAATCAAAATAAAAAAATGAAAAAAAAACGCCTGCATATACCATGGATTAGTACCTACATACCAAATTTCATCAAAATCGGACTACAGGTGTGGTCTAAAAGGTCTAGCTCTGTACACATCCACACTTAAAAAAAACTCAAAGCTTGTTGCTTAGTTTGGCTCATGTTGAAGATTATCAAACTGTTAAATTACTGGCATTTTTTTATTGACAACAAATTGAATTGGAAGTCTCATGTTGAGTATGTGAACAGAAAAATTTCAAGAGTTTCTTATCTCATGTGGAAGCTTAGGGATTTTGTGAGTTTTGAATATCTAAGGGTGGCTTACTATGCTTTTTGTCAGTCCCATCTTTCGTATGGCATTACTCTTTGGGGTCATTCAGGTTTTGTGTATGACATACTTACAACACAGAAAAATATAATTAGAACAATCTTTAGGACAAGTGACACTGAACATTGCAAACCACTTTTTATAAAACTCAAAGTAACGACTGTTATTAATCTTTACATTTACCACATTCTCATTTATACCAAACTACATATTACAGATTTCAATAATAGAAAAACATTCCATAGCCACAACACAAGAGGAAAAAACAAATTTGACCTTCCCCAGCACCGCTTAGGCCGGTTTTATGCACCGCGACAGTCGCGTGTCGCGTGTCGCGGCGCGACTCAAGTTCTATTGAGTTAAATGGGAGCATTTATGCACCGCGACAGCGACAAACTGCCGCGCGAGCGACTCGGAGATCTCTAAATACCCGCGACAGGTTTTAGAATCGCAGCTTCAAAAAATGTGTCGCGCGCGGTTCAAGTTCTATTGGATCAAATGGGCACGTTTATGCACCGCGACAGTCGCGGCGCAACAGTAGTATTTTTCATACTCCACGTGGTATATTCTCCATATATTTATATTGATTAATGTTAATAATTAGTATATAAATGAGTTCTTTACCCTTTATTTGTAATATAAATTACATCATTATATTATGTAATGACATTTTTAAGAGGGTTGACCCAATTCCAACTGTAAATTGTATGTGTTGTTTAAATAACTGGGGTTTTGTCGTTAACGTGTACAACACTACAGGGTCTATTTAAACAACTTAATAATCACTTCTACATCACAAACACAACACACAACATTGGATTGAGAACAGACTGATTTCTTTAATTCCCCCAACACCGGATGTGAGTTTACGCGACAAAAAAGTGTCGCTGTCGCGTGACATTTTGGTCACCCGCAAGACGTGGCGCGACTCGCGACTCGCGACTGTCGCGGTGCATAAAACCAGCCTTAGCAAAAACGGGAAACTGCTTTAAAATTAACTACGTGAGATTTTTCAATAAACTGCCTGACACTGCCCGATTTGTGACTATGAAACAATTTAAAATTAAAATATCTGAGTGGTTTATTGCCAATCCTTTTTATAAAATAGAAGATTTTTTATAATGTCCTGTTACTATTCACTTTAAGATTTAATTTATGTTTTACAAGTGCATTTATGTCTTTAATTATATTTTGTACGCTTACAGTATTTTCAAAACCGCTACATGTGTACTCAAATAAACTTTTTGTTAAACGGAAATTAGAATGTAAGAGCACAATCAGTGTTTTAGAGGCACAGAACAATATAGATGTGTTATAGTTGTTAGACTTGAAATATAGCCTAAAATAGATTTTATTAAGATGTATATTTAACTATTTACTGTAATAGATGCCTATGTACAGAGTTGTTATTGTATATGTACTTGTTTACTAAATTCTATAAAGACATATTTGGTAATTGTCACTTTTATTTAGCTTGTACCTCTTCCTTGATGTCAAAATCATCTTCCGATAATTTTGTAAGATTATCAGAAGAAATTTGTGTTTATCAGCCTAAAGATAGTGTTTATAAGTTTTGAGGTTGGTAAAACTGCAGCATTAGTTTGTTTTCTAATTGTCTTTGATGTATAAATTAACTTTTTTTCTAAATTTAATTCCATTAGTTACTATCAGGTGTGAGCGATGATGATGGTACAGTAGCGCTGTTGGTTACCGGTACTAATATCACACCTGATTTAGACAACATTTTTGTGCATACAAGATGTACCTGTGATAGGTTATTTAAATTAATTATTTTAGTATCTGAACCCTGGAAACTTCCCAGCACGCCGAGTGTCTATGTGTGTATGTAGTTGCATACATTATCCTACATAAAAGGCGTAATGGCTACGTGCATGGTGTACTTGTAAGAATCTTTATCTCTGTATTAGATTAATAATTAAATAATTCTTTTTACTAAAAGATAAAATTTGTTACAGATTCACAAAAACAAGATGGTTTTTTTAACATTTTTTCAATTTACAATCTTTTGAATCTCTAATTTCTTCAAGTATTTGGCACTAAACCTTGAAATGTTTTCTTTGACCGTTGGGGTTCGAATGTCCCTGAGAAGCACTTCGTGCCTTAGAACTATAGATTGTAAACTTTGGATAACGTAAAGATTTGATTTATTGGATGTTCCCCACAGTTGGATACCGTACGTACACACGAGTTTGTGACGTCTTTCCCACTATAACTACGGAATAGCGTATATATGTTCCAATGTTCCTAGCAGGAAAAAACGATATGTTAAAAGTTAAAAGATTAAAATACACTTATCTCATCTATATATATAAAAGAGGATGTTTGTATATATATTTGTTTGTTTGTTTGTTTGGGGGTGATAAACTCGGACACCGCTGAACCGATTGCCACGAAACTTGGTACATACGTGTAGAATGTCATGGAATAGGTTTATACACCATCAATTTCGTGATCCGTCCAATAGGCTCCGCCCCAGTGGCTCTGGAGTTTCCCATGTTAACCTTATGAGAAATGGAATTAATGAATCTTAACAGCTGTTTCAATTAAACAAGTTGGTTCTGTTCTATGATGTTCAATAGCATTAAAGTTACAAGGATTACCAACAGGGTGCAGCACTATTATTTCTTTTACATTTATGACAACAGCTAATTTGCAACCAAAAAGGTGAGTGAGCGTAGCGAACGAGCTAACCTGAAGGCAAGTGAGCGTAGCGAACGAGCTAACCTGAAGGCAAGTGAGCGCAGCGAACGAGCTCCAACCTAAAGGTGAGTGAGCGTAGCGAACGAGCTCCAACCTAAAGGTGAGTGAGCGTAGCGAACGAACTTCAACCAGGACGTGATTGAGCCATGCGAACGAGATCATCTTGAAAATTAAGAAGTTAAACGGGGCAAAGCCCGCGGGTTACAGCTAGTAAAATCTAAAACAAATCTAGAAGAAAAAAAGTAAAAAATGTCGACAAAAGATAACTAGTCTCTTGTATGGATTATTTTGAGAAGATTAAGTTGGTTTACCTGATAAAAGTTAAGTCCAGGGCTTATAGATACAAATAAAAGATCATAACACATGCTATTGAAATATTTATTCCTAATATAGGACTTCTTCATTGAGTGAATTTAGGAAAAATGTTAATTACTACCCAAAACTGAAGTAGTTTTCACTACTGTAAGACTACTCCTGTTTTGAATTACAACTAACATTTCTCTTCAATCAACCCTCTGTATCCTAAAAATTACTTTTCCTACCAAAAATTCACCATACATACCATAGGGTACCATACAACAGGAGCATCTAATGGTTTTTGCCAACTCGACCATAGGGCATTAAAATTAGAAATTTTTCTGTTTACAGCCATATTTTGAGGATATTTTAGTCGCAAGAGGCGCAAACATCCATATATCCACAATGTTCCGAGCCACCCCAAAAACAGTAGAAAATATATATATAGTGCACAAAAGGTAAAATAAATGATAAGCCAGTCAGAATATAAAGAACATTTAATAAGTTGTTTTATGTCTCTGTATTCTTGTGCAAATCGTCGGATTTAGGTCTGTACATTTATTATATCTGTGCTTAACAATTTAATTATTTTTAATGGGTTGGAAGAGAGTAGAAGTGGAACGAAAAAACTAGTAGACATATACTACATCACGCCAACTGGGAAAAAACTTCGTTCCAGCAAAAAAAATTAGACAACACTGTAAGTGAAATGTCTTTAACATTATCATCATTATTTTCATTGTTATAGTTGTAGCATTTATTACAAATTCTGAAGCATTAATTTCATAGCCTCTGTGAATTCTTGCATTAATCAGATTTTTGAAGAAGAGCAAGAATTTGCTGGTAACGGTAGTTATAGCTAATTGATTCACTCATCAAGTGAAGGATTACCGCCAATTAGAAATAGCTCAAATCTAGATGTCCCTAAGTGTAGACTTTCAAAATCTATAAACTGCTTCCCAGTAACTGGCATAAATACGTTTAACAGCCTACCAGCAAGCCGGAAAGCTCTACCAGAAAAGCTGTTCCAGCAGCGGATTAAGGCGTGCTTATTGAACAACCACTGCTATTCAGTGCAGAAGTTTTTTTTAACTTCTTTAAGAACATTCAGTAATTTGTTCCACCATTATTACTTGGCCTATTGCCTTATTGTGTTTGATGGCTGAATAAATGATTTGATATGTATACTTAATTTCATTAACACGTATTTTTTTGATTACATCATCAAAAATTACTTATAAATTGCAACTTCAATTCATGCTCATAAAAAATGTACTATACCATTAACTGTTAAAAAAATAATAACACAAAACAAAATCAATTACTACATGAATTTTGATGATATAAAATAAATTATTAAGTCTTTTTACCAGGTTATTATTTCTAGTCTCGTTCAACGTTTTGAACAAATCGATACAATCTTCTTACATTGACATGTGGATCTTAAAAGATGAAAGAGTCACGGCAAAGAATGACACCAATAAAACGTTTGAACGACCCTTTCAATCTCAGAGCTCGGAAATTGAGCTTCAATCTGTCTCGAGAACTTATCAAGGTGCGTCAGCCTTTGAAGGACTAATTGCTGTTTTATCGGGAACATGAGATTAATTTCCTGCCTCTGGACGGAAAACTGCCAGAGAAAGATTGGGATATTAAAAGTTCCAAAGGAGATACCACAGCTATTTATACTAAGTGGAAATAAGTCACTTTTTAACGACAGAGTGACAGAAAAATTGTATGTAACAATTTATTAACGGTTCTACCATGTGATAACTATTATTTCGCTATCAATTTTAGACACTTTTTTCTTTCCACTCCGGATTTTCAACCTTAAAACAGACCAAAAACACTAACGACCAGGCACAGTGGTGTACGAACAAAGTTGGCAACACTGGATGTAAACGTAGAACAGCTGTTTTGTTTTACAGCAAAATGTAATCATTTGTTAGGAAATAACTATTGTTGCAGAACTAACTTAGGAATAAAAATTGGCGATTGTTGCTAATATGAATGCCATAACTGGATTATCCAGGAGTTTAAAGAGGTTTAAAGATTATAAAAAATCCTGTAGAGAAAGGTTAAAGTCTAAAAGGAAAGCGAGTTTTTTTTGTAAACTCATGAAGCTGAGAGTAGGGGCAAAAACATTACACACATGGTTTTTTAAGTGTTATAATTAACTAGTTTCAAATTGAATCAAAATAAACTTTACTTTATTCAATAAAAGGTTAAATTACCTGTGTCCGCCGGTCGATCCTAATATTGCTGTGTCCTATTACAGGAGATGCATTTCGGCAGGATAAAATGCCATCATCAGTCCTAATATAAGTTCTTGATCTTCCCCATTGGGTGCGTCTTGAAGTTTTGAAACACGTACACGAACTTTACACTTAAATACATCACGATTAAAACATAAAAATACACGGTAGGCCTACTTTTATTTGAGTTATGACGGACATGTAGACGCGCGTCGGTCGTGTGTCGAGTCTCGACTTTTGTTGCAGGTAATTTAACCTTTTATTGAATGTCATACCGATCCGGAACAACAACAAACAACATAAAATGAAGTTTACTTTATTATTTATAAAACACACTTGTGTCTGCATTGAACAGAGTCAATGGTAAATCAAATAATAAACAACAACAATATCATAAGCAACAAAGTTAAAAAACCTATGGAACAATGTTACGAGATTCAGATAATTCAAATCAAATCAAATCAAATCATGTTTATTAGCACATAAACGTACAGAGGTTATAGATAAATGCACAGGTGCTTCGTCATTCTTATTATAGCCTAATATTATATAATGTCCTTTTTTACAATGTATTTATTAATAATAAATAAAATAGTTTTTTAACATTTGAGGAACTCTTTAAATAGACTAGTCAAAAGGTTTAATAAAAAAGATAACGTCAAGCTTAAAACTAAATAACAAGATTTATAGAATTTAATTATAAATAAAACATTAAAAATGTATAAAACATGTCATTTTAGTCAATAACGAGGTCTTCATTAAAATTTCACAACAAAAACGATATATATAAAATATATGTAACATTTAAAAATCAACAAGATTAACATGGAGAAGGAACTTTTTACCCTATAAAATATTATGGAAGTAACAGGACCTGCTTATAACATTTGAGAGTCATTTAGAAAATCGTCAACTTTATAATAGGCCTTTCTGATCAAAATACGCTTAATGTTATCTGCAAATTGTGCTGGACTCATTGCTGTGTTTTTTAAGTGATTTGGAAGTTTATTGAACAATTTAATTCCCATGTAATGAATACTTCTTTCTAAAGATGTCGTAGAATGATGAGGGTGTATAAGCAAATTCTGGTTTCTAGTATTGTAATTGTGGCTATTTTTTTCTATAGAGTACCAATTTAAATTATTCTTTACATGACACAGAACCTCAAAAAT